TGTGAAATTCTAGATTATATATGTGTGTGTGTGTGTGTGTGTGAGTGTGAGTGTGAGTGAATGATAGTGTTGGATACAATGCTAGCTTAAATAAATATATTAGTTTCTTACACACAATTCTGTTCCTTTTAAGAGTGCAGAATGTTGTCCCGACACCATCATGCTCATATTAAAACTGCTTCTACGAGCACCTATGGCCTGTTGCAGCTCTATCACGTGTCCAGCTATGTCTGCTAAGACACTGCGAAAATAGCAAATTAATCAGGGATTTTCCGTGCACCTCATTGTGGCGTACGTAAAGAAGTATTAAATACCTGGAGCGGTGGAAGACTTTGCCTGCTGACCTGATGGCACCCTGGTCTGACAGAGTGTAAAGCATTGTGTGTTCTTTTTTATTTTTGTCAGGCTGTTTCTTTCAAAGAAAGGATTGTGACCATTCACATCACAAGCTTAAGCATACTTTTGCAAAAGTAAGACCCATTGAATTCCATGACTCTTTCCTTCCCCAGGATGTGTGCATAAGAATGGACCCTAAATAACGTACTAGCCTTTCCTCCTTCTTTTTAAAAGTGGGAACTCAATTTCTGTAGGAAAGCATTGAAAAAAACAATTAGCAGAGGTGTGCGAAAGGAAACCAAATCTAGCAGTGTTTTGTGAAAACTATTTTTTTTTAAAGTGGGATTTGTCCCCCCTTTTCAAGGAACAATAAAAGGCCTTTTGAAAAAACCTGAACAGGCTTTAGCATGTGTTGTCCAAGGCTTTCATGACCGCAATCACTGGGTTGCTGTGAGTTTTCCAGGCTGTATAACCATATTCCAGAAGCATTCTCTCCTGACATTTCACCCACATCTATGGCAGGCATCTTCAGAGGATGTGAGATCTGTTGGAAACTAGACAAGTGAAGTTTATATATCTGTAGAATGACCAGAGTGGGAGAAAGAACTCTTGTCTGTTTGAGGCAAGTGTGAATGTTGCAGTTGGTCACCTTGACTAGCATTGAATGGCCTTACAGCTTCAAAGCTTGACTGCTTCCTGCCTGGGGGAATCCTTTGCTGGGGGTGTTGGTTGGTCCTGATTGTTTCGTGTCTGGAATTCCCCTGTTTTCTGAGTGTTCTTTATTTACTGTCCTGATTTTAGAGGCTTTTTAAAATACTGGTAGCCAGATTTTTAGTAGCAACAGTAAGAACTGACCATGGAACAACAGACTGGTTCAAGATTGGAAAAGGTGTACGGCAGGGTTGTATACTCTCCCTCAACCTATTCAACTTGTATGCAGAACACATAATGCGATGTGCGGGGCTGGAGGAATGCAAGTCTGGGGTGAAAATTGCTGGAAAACATATTAACAAACTTAGATATGTAGATGACACCACTTCGATGGCCGAAAGTGAGGAGGAGCTGAGGAGCCTTCTAATCAAGGTGAAAGAAGAAAGCGCAAAAGCTGGGTTGCAGTTAAACATTTTAAAAACCCAAGATTATGACAACAAGAATGATTGACGACTGGGAAATAGAGGGAGAAAACGTGGAGGCAGTGACAGACTTTGTGTTTCTAGGTGCAAAGATTACTGTAGATGCAGACTGCGGCCAGGAAATCAGAAGACGCTTACTCCTTGGGAGGAGAGCAATGTCCAATCTTGATAAAATAGTGAAGAGTAGAGACATCACACTGGCAACAAAGATCAGCATAGTTAAAGCAATAGTATTCCCCGTAGTCACCTACGGATGTGAGAGCTGGACCATAGGGAAGGCTGAGCAAAGGAAGATAGACGATTTTGAACTGTAGTGTTGGAGGAAAGTGCTGAGAGTGCCTTGGACAGCGAGAAGATCCAACCACTCCATACTTCAAGAAATAAAGCTTGACTGCTCATTGGAGGGAAGAGTAGTAGAGGCCAAGATGAAGTACTTTGGCCACATCATGAGAAGACAGGAAAGCTTAGAGAAGACAATGATGCTGGGGAAAATGGAAGGAAAAAGGAAGAGGGGCCGACCAAGGGCAAGATGGATGGATGTCCTTGAAGTGACTGGATTGACCTTGAAGGAGCTGGGGGTGGTGATGACTGACAGGGAGCTCTGGCATGGACTATGAAGTCACGAAGAGTCGGAAACGACTGAACGAATGAACAACAACAACAACCAGATTTTGTTCATGTTCATGGTTTCCTCCTTTCTGTTGAAATTGTCTACGTGCTTGTGGATTTCAGTGGTTTATATATCTTCTCCACAGATATATAAACCCAACTTGCCTAGTTTCCAACAGACCTCACAGTCTCTGAGGATGCCTGCTATAGATGTGGGCAAAACGTCAGGAGAGAATGCTTTTGGAACATGGCCATATGGCCCAGAAAACTCATACCAACGCATCTTTTCTCATTCTTGTTAACTGTAATTTTTAATTCCTGCATTTAGCATTATTGTTAGATATATGTGGGAGGGAGTGTTCCTCAGAATTGCCACTTCCTGCTTCATTAGAAACACCAATACGGTATGGAGAGAAGTCATTTTAAAATCCAGTATCCAAATTTAGTAGTTCTGGATGATCCATACTCCTGTCCATATATATTAATTTAGCACTAAACCCCATGAAAGCCAATAGGATTTACCCAACAGCGAGTGTGTGTAGCCTAGTGGGGATTATACTAGTTCACTAGTTACTTTAAAATGAATCCTCTGTTTGTGTTTGTGTTTGTTTTAGTCTATTGTTTCCTCTGGAGATTTGCCCAAGCTGAAACCTCATCAGAAAGACTCTAAACTCTTGTTATTTGGTCTGCTGTCAAAGCCAAGTCATTAAAACAAATGCAAACAAGGTCTGTTTTAAAACTTATAGAGTTTTAAACTTAAATCCACTTGGATTTATGCACTGGTTAAATTAACTACAGTTTGAAGCTTCATATTATAGGCAGCCTCTAAATGTTTAAACCATGATGTTGGAATGTATTGCACTAAGTGTATTTCAGCCAAGTCCAATGCAGAAGACACAATAACATTGCACCCAGGCAAGAGGAAAAAGAAACATTGCAAGTGCAACTTGTGGGGACGAGAGAGAGGGCCTTTTCTGTAGTGGCCCCCCGGCTCTGGAATTCACTCCCCAAGGATATTAGGCAGGCCCCTACGCTGGCAACCTTCAGGAGGAACCTGAAAACCTGGTTATTCCAAAGTGCCTTCAATGATTGAGTATAAGATACTCCCTGACCAACTTTGCACAAATTGACCTCAGAAGCACTTTATTTTATGGTTTGTGCAATTAAATCCTTCCTTATCCCTGGATCCTCCTCCCTGATAATTTACATTGTCCTATCTCCCAGCGTTTTAAAATGCTATCTTTGAATTTGGCCCTGCCCAGTGAAAATCTTTTGTGTTTCCAATAGTTGATTTCATATTGTTGTGTCGTTTATTATATTGGTTTTCTATTTGATGTATTTTATTTTCTGGTTTTGTTATGCTTTTGTGTTATATTGTGTGTATTGTACCGATGGGCATGGCCTCATGTAAGCCGCACCGAGTCCCCCTGGGAGAGATGGAGTGAGGTATAAATAAAGTTTTATTATTATTATCATACTAGCTTGGGGACCCGGCGCTGCCCGGGTAATTTGAGAAAAGCATTGTGCACCAAGGTTGGTCTTTATCGGTTATTTATGTGGCTCACAGTGCTCTCAGGAAGTTACTGTGAGTCCCATCGTCCATGGTCCATCGACCTCCAAACAGCACCAGGATGTAGAGTGGGTTATGGGGGCTCTGTGTGCCAAGTTTGGTCTTGATCAGTTATTGGATGAGGTTCGCAGCGGTCTCGGGAAGTGAGTGAAGGTACTTCAAGTCCCATCATCTGTGGTCTATCCTCCACCAAACTGCACCAGGATGTAGAGTGGGTCATGGGGGCTCTGTGTGCCAAGGTTGGTCTTGATCAGTCATTGGATGAGTGTCACAGCGGTCTCGGGAAGCGAGTGGAGGTACTTCAAGTTCCATCATCTGTGGTCCATCCTCCTCGAAACTGGACCAGGATGTAGAGTGGGTCATGAGGGCTCTGTGTGCCAAGTTTGGTCTTGATCAGTCACTGGATGAGGGTTGCAGCAGTCTTGGGAAGTGAGTGGATGTACTGCAAGTCCCATCATCCATGGCCCACCCTCCTCCAAACAACAGTAGGATGTAGAGTGGGTCATGGGGGGTCTATGTGTCAAATTTGGTCTTTATCAGTCTTTATTGGGGGCCGCAGTAGTCTGTGGGAACAAAAGGGGTGGGAAAGTACTACAAATCCCATCATCCATTGTCCGTCCTCCCCCAACCCTCACCAGGACGTAAAGAGGGTCATGGGGGTTATGCGTGCCAAGTTTGGTCTTGATTGGTCATTGGATTAGGGTTGCAGCAGTCTCTTGAAGTGAGTGGAGGTACTTCAAGTCCCATCATCCATGGTCAGACCTTCTGCAAACTGCAGTAGGATGTAGAGTGGGTCATGGGGGCTCTGTGTGCCAAGTTTGGTCTTTATCAGTCTTTGTTGGGGGCCACAGTGGTCTGTGGGAACCAATGGGTTTGAAAGTACTACAAATCCCATCATCCTTTGTCTGTCCTCCCCCAAACCTCACCAGGACGTAAAGGGGGTCATGGGGGTTATGTGTGCCAAGTTTGGTCCAGGTCTGTCATCTGTGCTGGTCACAGTGGCCTGTGAAAGTGGCAGCTAATCAGAAAGCTGCCACATACACCGCCCTCCCTCCCTCCACATACAAACACTGACTTTTATTATATACATAGATTATTATACAAGGTGTCTCATTGATGGTCTTGTCAGAACTGTGGCTGAAGGCAGTTGTATTTTCTTTCCCTTCTCATCCGCCTGATCCCTTCTAATCTCTGTTGTTAATCACTGCCTCCCAAGCTGCTGGGAAGTGGCGGAGGTGATCTCTGAAGTTCAAGATGACCCTTTGCAGAGCACATCCCGTTTCTTTTGCCCTCCCCCACAACTCCGTCTGCCTGCTATTAACCCTCTGTCATTTTTCTGTCTCGCCTTGCAGTGAGAAACGCCGCCTGCAAGTGAGCGTCACCAACCCAGTCCAGTGCAGCATGCATGGTCGGAAATGCACCGTCTCCGTGGAAACCAGGATCAACCAATCGGAGCCAAACTTCACGAAGGACCGGGCAGGCTTCATCCTCTGTGTGCCTGGGAATTAGCATGACTTCTGCAAGGGAGGGAGGCGGAGGGAGAAGAGTCCCCCCTTGGAGCAGCCTTTTGTGTCTTGAATCTGGTGGGTGGGGAGGGAACGGGAAGAAGAGGAGTCGAGGGGCTTGTCAAGAAATCCCCTTGCGACACACATCTAGACACCTGTAAAGCTCTACAGACAAGGAGCATAAATTGCCTCCTTGATGATGCCGGCTGCGATGATTTTAGAAATGGCTTCCGAGCCATTTTGTACCAAAGTGCCTTTTAAGAACCGTTTTTACATTCCTCTGCCTTACTTCTCCTGTTCCTCCCTCTCCCTGTACTGAAGATTGTTATATTATTCATTCTTGAAGCTCTGATCAGAGCAACCAAAGCCTTACTTGGGAGGGAACAGGAGGGATGCACTTTCAATTTTACCGAGACCAAATCTTAATTTTTAATGGGAACTATTTTTAGGGAGAGACACGTGTTCACAACCCAGGGACAAGGGCTGGGGCAATCATTCCTCAAACACATCCTTGCATCTTTTACCCCCCAGGAAAGTTTTTCCTGATCCCATGAGAGACCAGTAGAAATGGTTGAGCAAAATGCCTGAGCAAAGGCTGAACTGTATTCTAAAAACCATACAGTTATACCCCAAACTTACTAGTTGACCTACATTAGCAGCTGCACATAATAATTACCAGCATAAAGTTTTCTTCACACACATACTTGATATGATATGGCATTAATCCTCCAGTCCTTGGGGATTTTTTTTAATGGGAACTATTTTTAGGGAGAGACACATATTCACAATCCAGGGACAAGGGCCTGGGGCAATCATTCCTCAAACACATCCTTGTATCTTTTTCCCCCAGGAAAGTTTTGCCTGATCCCATGAGAGAGCAGTAGAAATTGTTGAGCAAAATGCCTGAGCAAAAGCTGAGCTGTATTCTAAAAACCATAGTTATACCCCAAACTTACTAGTTGACCTACATTAGCAGCTGCACATAATAATTACCAGCATAAAGTTTTCTTGAACATACACACACATACTTGATATGATATGGCATTAATCCTCCAGTCCTTGGGGAATTTTTTTTTCAATGGGAATTATTTTTAGGGAGAGACACGTGTTCATAACCCAGGGACGAGGGGCTGGGGCAATCATTCCTCAAACACATCCTTACATCCTTTTCCCCCCAGGAAAGTTTTGCCTAATACCATGAGAGAGCAGTAGAAATGGTTGAGCAAAATGCCTGAGCAAAGGCTCCTCAGAGCAAAAGCTGAACTGTATTCTAAAAACCATACAGTTATACCCCAAACTTACTAGTTGACCTACATTAGCAGCTGCACATAATAATTACCAGCATAAAGTTTTCTTTAACACACACACATACTTGATATGATATGGCATTAATCCTCTAGCCCTCGGGAAAAAAAGCATATTCAGACTGTGGATTTGATCTTCTTGCAATACAACCCCAGTGCCTCGCTAGCCTCGCAGTCTGGGTGGTTCTAACTAGATGCCAACAGACCGATAGAAAAAGCACCGGCTTTGAAATATATTTTGCAACATCGCCACCCCTTTTGTGATGAGCTGGCAACCAATTCTTCTCAACCATTACTTTTCAGATGCTTCTGCTAGTGCAAGCATTGGAGCCCATTCCTTGGGCTGGTGCATATTATGCTTTCTCGAAGCAGCTGGCGTCGTTCTGGCCAGTGTAATCTTGTGTAGATGCCTTTTGTTGGTTGCAGTTGCTGAGCAGTGATGCAGCCTTGTTAGCAGGCTTTTGTTTCTTCTCGTGCCAAAAGGAGCGTGCTTTATTTGACATGGAGGAGGGAGAGCGCTTCCAGCGTCTTGAAAGGCGGGAGGAAATGTGTTATTCTGGGTCACTTCAAAAAAAAAAGCCTGTGGCAAATAATAAGTAAACCAAACATAACCAAACTGGCACTGCAGGTCAGGTCAGGTTGGGATGATTTAACTATCTTATGAGGGCACACGATCCACTTTTGTGGCAGGGACGGCAGGGCCCATGGCTTCATGTTGTCATGTTCAAGCATGAGGTGGAGCACACTGTCACCCTTGGGGAGAAGAAGTGAGATAAAAGGAAGTCTTTCTACAGCCATTCCTAACCACTGCTTGGTATCCTGTTCGTGAGTTGTGGCATAAGCCCAATTTACACTAGTGTAATCATTTTTTGTGTTGTGAGTTGTGGCATAAGCCCAATTTACATTTTGGGAGCCTTCGGTGGTGCAGTGGGTTAAACCGCTGAGCTGCTGAGCTTGTTGACCGAAAGGTCGCAGGTTCAAATCTGGGGAGCGGCGTGAGCTTCCGCTGTCAGCCCCAGCTTCTGCCAACCTAGCATTGAAAAACATGCAAATGTGAGTATATCCTTAGGCACCATTCTGGTGGGAAGGTATTAGTGCTCCATGCAGTCATGCCGGCCACATGACTTTGGAGGTGTCTACTGACAATGCCGGCTCTTCGGCTTAGAAATGGAGATGAACACCAATCCCCAGAGTCGAACACAACTGGACTTAATGTCTGAGGAGAACCTTTACCTTTACCTTTGCCATTTTTTGCAGAGATCAGAATTCCATATTGACTTTTCAGTGTCCCAAATCCTCCTCCAAACCTACCTTTTAAGCACCACATACCCCCCAACATATGTTGCTGAAGAGCAGTGGGATCAAAGGAGATGCAGCCATCTTTTTTACTGTAGCTGGACATGCAGTGAGGATATTATCTGCAGACTACTGAGTGTTCCTGCAGGCACATCAAGGAAAATAGCTGGACATTTCTACGTTGGTTCCCTCTGCTCTCCAGCCATATGGAAGTGTCCATGTTGGAATGGTTCTCTCTTTAAATACAGTGATTTCACTGGGAGACTACAAAAATGTAACTACCGTATATTCCGGCATACAAGGCGACTGGGGGTATAACACGACCCCCCAAATTTTCAACACAAAATACAGAATTAGGGATATACTCGCTGTTTAAGACGACTCCGCATTCCATGGAGACCGGCTGGGGGTGATGGCCTGCTGGGTTGTCCCTGCAGCCCCCGCCACTCTATCCACTCTACTTTCAAGCCTCTCATCCGCCCCACCGCTCACCTTCTCCGAAGGCCACTGGGCTCATCTTAGGCCCAAGGAAGCGCCTCCGGACGACAACTCCTGAGCAGCCCTGAGCAGCGATGTGCCTGGGATGTGCTTGCTGAAGCATTCTGAGAGCCGTAGGAGTCAGGAAACTATGACTCCCAAAATGTCTCAGCGAGCACATCCCAGGCACGATGACGCCGGGGCTGCTGGGAGCCATCCGAAAGCGCTTCCTTGGGCCGAGAAGAGCTCAGTCACCTTCGAAGGAAGTGAACGTCGGGGGTAGAGGACGGCTATGAAAGTAGAGCAGGGAGAGCGGCGGGGGCCACAGGGACACCCCAGCGGGCGATCACCCCCGACTATACAGCCTGCCGCTCCTCCTCCCCGTGCCCTCCCTCCGTCCTCCTCCTCCCTCCCTCCTAAGATAGTTGTATTTTATTTTTTCTTGTTATTATTATTATTATAATTTTATACCCGCCGTACTAGACATTAGGGCTGGGCGGTTTCGTTCATTAATTTCGTAATTCGTTATTAATTCGTATTTAAATTAGCTTACAATCCGATATTGAGCCATTTTGGAATAGTGTGTGGAGTTAAATAGATTCGAAACAATTTTTTCAATGTATTTCGTAATTGTTTCGAAATTGTTTCGTAATTATTTTCGCATGCCTGGTGCAAGTTTTATAGTTGTTGTTTGTTTTATCACACCAACAGTCAACAACAGAGGGAGAGGGAAGCTTCAGAAGTTCCCCCTGTCCCATTTGGAGGTTTTTTCAGCATATTTTTAGCATATTTGGAGGTTTTTTTAGCATATTGCGCAATCGCGTCTGCCATTAACGAATCGATTCGTAATTTACGAAATTTCGTATATTTCGAAATTTTTAAAAGGAAAATTTCGGAATTCTTTAAAGAAACGAAACGTGATGGACCCCTTAAAAACGAATCGAGTTTAGACACAAATTTTTCCGTGGTTACCCAGCCCTACTAGACATCCCCCGACTTTTCATAAGATTCTTCAGGCCTAAAAAGTCATCTAGTATACCGGAAAATACGTTACATGCCAGACATATATCTCTCGGTGCAGGATCTCAGCCATTACCTTTTTTGGACTACAGTAATCTGAAATATTTAAGTTCTGTTCATGTTTCTGCATCATGTCTTAAGAGGGATGAACTCTCTGCCAGCATTCAAGATGACTGACTTCACCCCTTTCCCTTTTTTTACAATAGTTTGCCTGGATAATGCAAGAGCCCAGTCTTATAACTTGCTTTTCAGTGTGGAGATTCATAAAGTAGGAGGATGTAGGTGAATACTGCTTGACGTCTTTAGCTAGTCGCAGATAGAAAATGACAGTACTTCCAGCTTGTGTGGAGCCCATTATCCGTCCCAGCATTCATTCTCACAAAGTCAAAGCTACCCATGCTGAAAGATATTCTGGATGAACCTTCCTTCTGAAAAGAAATTTGGCTGCTTGTCAGTCTTGCCAAGAGACTCTGTTGCCAGAAGCAAACTGGGCTTGTCCCAATCTCCCTTCCACCCTCTTCTTTTCTTCTTTCCTAATTACCAGCGTGCCTTCCAATTCCCCCTTTCACAGCAGCCACTTTAGCCACAGAAACTTTTTTCAGTTAGCACCTTTGTATGGTAACCCAATGTAATGGCTGTATTTGAATAATGATAGAAGTCGAATAGGATTGTATGTTGAAAAAGACTCTCCAGATCTGTAAAATTAGCTCTATAATATGTGATGGAGTATTTGTCTTGACTTAAATGAATATACAGTATTTGTGCCTTTTTTCTGATTTTCCTGTGTGTCTGTATTTGAGAGAAAGAGACGTGCAAGAGAGAATCTGTGTGTGTCTTGGTTTTATCGATCTATGAATTAACTGTTTCTTAATTGTATTTTGATTTTAAGCCTGGGAGAATAATGTAACGAACATTTTAGAATACAGTTTATACAGAAATGTTTGGCCCAAACCCGTTATAATTAAAATGTATTTTGTTTACATAATTAATTGCAATAAACAAGAGGGCTCAAGTATACCTAAAACAAAATCTGTTTTTATTGGGAAAGTTCATGGCAATATCTGGAGTAGGGATCCTCAAACTACGGCCCGGGGGCCAGGTACGGCCCTCCAAGGTCATCTACCCGGCCCTCGCTCAGGGTTAACCTAAGTCTGAAATGACTTGAAAGCACACAACGACGACAACAACAATCCTATCTCATCGGTCAAAAGCAGGCCCACACTTCCCATTGAAATACTAATAAGTTTATATTTCTTAAAATTGTTTTTCATTTTAATTATTGTATTGTCTTTAAGTGTTTTTTTGCACTACAAATAAGATATGTGCAGTGTGCATAGGAATTCATTCAATTTTTTTTCCAAATTATAATCCGACCCTCCATCAGTTTGAGGGACTGTGACCTGGCCCTCTGTTTAAAAAGTTTGAGGACCCCTGACCTGGAGCAACAGCAGCATTCGCTCTGAACTAATACTACTCACTGGAGCATCATACAGGGAGCATACCGCCCCCCTGTTATGTCAGCTCCACTGGCTGCCGGTCCAGTTCTGAGCACAATTCAAAGTGCTGGTCTTGACCCATAAAACCCTATACGGTTCTGGCCCAGCGTATCAGTCCAAACATATCTCCTTTTGTGTCCCACCTCAGAGTTTAAGATCTTCTGGGGAGGCCCTGCTCTCGACCCC